AACAGGAAAAAAAATACAAAAATATTCGAGTTCCCTTTCTAACAATAAAATAAAGTATTTCATCTTTACCTTGTCTAGTAGTAAGCCACTCTTACATGTCAGAAAAAGAAAAAAAAAATGCATGTGCGCACTTTAACAAAAATAACAACAACAACATAATAACAATAAAGAAACAGAATATTTGCATATGCAAGAGTATCGACCAATTTGTTTGGCATAATTCAATTTAAATGATAAGGTGAATTATCATTATTCAAATAGGGAAATTTCAATAGTTAAGACTATAGTGATGACTGAACTGATTTCCTAGAAATCAATTAAGTTAAAAGCTTTTGCAAAACTTAATTGAATTCTTTTTCTTACAATATAGTAAAATAATATTTTTAGACAGAATGTTTTTTTTTCCTCGATCTTTTGCTAGTCGAAATAATAAAATTAATAGCACACTGATTCATATGAAACTTGAAAAAACGACTTTCTTAATGAGATTAGTTCATTGGGCAACTTTTAGATTTTCTAGTATATCCTTGTGAGAAATGAACAAAATTTGCTTTTACACATGAGAGAATTTCGAATATCTTAGGATAGTAAATACTAGAAAACTTGCAATTCGAAAGTCGATTTTTCACATGATCAAAGTTTGATATCTTAAGAATGAAGGCCTGAAAAGCCAAATCATTCTGAAAATAGAAACATTAATAAAATGTTAATTTCAAAACGTATATATTAACACATCATAAAAAATACAAACATTATATCAAAGAATTAACATCATTGTACATATAAAACAATCATAGTAATGTTAATCTATAACATCATAATAATAATTACTGATGATAAAAATAATCGACATATATTCTCATTTTTCATTCGCATATCATTTTACATAAAATCTCAACGTATATGTTTATTTCACTGTCAATTTTTCTTGTACGTTACAAACAAGACAGAAAAGAAGTGATCATCTAGAGCATTGATGAATATATTTATATAGAGAAAATCTCACTAATTTGCTTTTTTGAAAGATTCATATTGAATGACATAAAATAAAGCAGCACATTACTGCATTTTGTTGAATATATAAAAAGGTGAGCTGTTGTTAACAACTGATTTTAACACTTAATTACATAAATGGAGGAAAAAAAAATACACTGGCCGGGAGTCGAACCCAAAATCTATTCAAATATTATAATTTTTAAATTGAATTTGTTTTACTAAAATTTTGATGTTGATCATCGGATCATTGAACCACTGCTCGGACCGCTCGCTTGGTAGGCGAGAATTCTTCCGTTAAAATACCAGTGCATGTTGAAGACTTGTCCACATTATATCTATAGTGCCACATCAAAACAGTAGACTTATCAAAATCAGATCAAAGCAAAGACTTTTCGCTTTGATATTTATTTCTCAACGAACTTGTAGTGAATAATTCTTTCCTACAAAGAAGATATACATTCAATATATATTGAAATCATAACAGTAGTCGATTTGTTGATGAGAAATGTAGAGATGGATAAATAACCAAATGATTTCGAAAGAAAACATCACTTGAAATATAGGTAAGAATAATTTTTTAGAAAAACTCCTACTGCTTTATTAACTGAAATATCAATATTGAACAATAGAACTATAGCTTGTAACATATTGGTTCGATTTATTGAATAGATAAAAACTCGTTTCACTGTAAAAACATGAAAATTTTTTAAAAAGACACGATATGCAAAGTTTTTCAATGTGAACTTTTGATGAGAAAAAAAGAGTGCACTAGCCGGGAATCGGACCCGGGTCGCCCGCGTGGCAGGCGAGCATTCTACCACTGAACCACCAGTGCATGTTGATAACTTGTTCATATTCTATTTGTATCATTACATCAAACGAGAAGACTTATAAAAATCACATCAAAGAAAAAAGACATCAGATATTGTGGTGCCTATTGATCAACAAATCTGTATTCAAGAATTTTATCGTACAAAGAGAATATAGGATTCAATATGATTTCAAGCCATAATAGTAACTAATTACGTCATGAGGAAAGTAGAAATAGCTAGATAACAAAATGATTTCATAACAAAACATCAATCTTTCCTAATGAAAAATATATGTAGAACAGTTTTGTAGTTTTTTATGGATAACCATAATGAAACCATAATTTGTAGGAAGACATCATGAGATGTATATATCAATACGCTTTTTGTTTCGCTGATCTTTCTGGTGAAAAAATATTGTGAATTTTCTTTAGAATTAACAGTGGTGTTATAAGCAAAATATTGAAAATACATTTTTTTGAATTTTTTTAAAGAGAATATTTCATTATGCATGTCGTTTGACTATACATTTTTCCGATGAATATGCAATGAAATTATATATTCTGATAGACTAAGTGTCAAAGTACAAGAAACGATAGATTTTGGAGTATTTTTGTCACTAAAATTAACAACTATTCAATAATAATCAGTCAGTGAGTGACCAAGCAAAATGTCTAAATAGTCGGTTAGCATGACTCAAAACGACTATATTCTAGAGAAGTGTGTTATAGTAGGTTTTCCAGAGCGAAGTCTCCTCTAGAACACTCAATACTCAAATTCTGATCTACAGTTGAATAGCTTGAGTAAATTTCGATGGAACATGGTAAATTACATTGATCATAAACAGGAGGGTATTTCCTCATGAAATCTCAATCACACTTGTGCAAAAGTGGTTTCCGATGTTTGACGAAGATAGATTCAAAATATTCTAATCAGTAAAAAATTCAGAAGCCTCAAAAATATGTTTGTTTTTTTATTGTTAGAATTTTTACAAATTGTTTTTGATAGTTTATTTCACTAAGATAAGGTAAAAAGACAGGATCAAGACCGTATTCAAACTTGTCATGAGACAAGGCATCGAGTTATACTAAATTCGACTTCAATTTTCACGGAAATGGATTCAAATATGTGATTTGACTACTCACTGATCAATCAATAAAATCATGCTACTTCGCCACCACTATAAAAAGTTGAATTTAGTATGACCCGATGCGCCATCTCATGAAGAGCCTGCTTAAAGTATGTTGAGTCTATCTTCGTCAAAAATTGAAGACCACTTTTGTATATGTGTGGTTGAGATCTCATGAAGAAATATTCTCCTGTTTTTATGATAAATATACTTTACTATATTCTATCAAGATCTACTCAAACTATTCTACTATAAATGTAAAATTGACTACTTTTCAGTATTCTGTTCATAACGCCATTATTTCTAAAGCAAGTACACAATATGTTTTTAATCAAAATGATTAGCGAGAAGCGCTCTACAAAATCTGATAGAAACGAAAATTTTCTAAACAGTTTGTCTTTATGGTTGGCTCTCCATCGAATTAGCACTAAACTTTTCTATTAATTACTAGTATTCATCAAAAAAATATCTTCTCGGACAAAAAGTAATTTCATAATGTCAAATAATTCTCCTATCACTTGAAATATTAATTGTAAACTTTTTAATTGTTATTCCTGGTATAGAAAATATGTTAGACTTTACTGTATCTAATTAATAAACTAATCTTTTTATTTATTTATGAATAATAAATGCACACGCACACATATGATGATATATGAGGAAAAAAATGTTAGCTAATACGAATAATCATTAGACTGTTTTGCTCTTCACTGTTGTTTTCGTTTCATCTTGTCGTTTACATAAAATTGCTCGGGCAACTTTTGATAAATTTTCTCGTTTCAATGCATCCGTAATAAATTGGCCAGCATCAATTAAACGATTAAGATCAACACCGGTTTCATAACCAAGTCCTTCTAATAAATAAAGAACATCTTCTGTAGCTACATTTCCTGTTGCACCTTTAGCATATGGACATCCACCAAGACCAGCAACACTTGAATCAATACAACGTATACCCATTTCTAATGATTTAGTAATATTAGCTATAGCTTGTCCATATGTATCATGACAGTGCATAGCTAATTTATTTGATGGTATACCACTTGTTTGTATTTCTTTAAGTAATTCATGAATAGAGTTTGGTGTACCAACACCAATCGTATCACCAAGTGATACTTCATACTATTTAAATGAAATTATTTTATTTATAAACAACATCTAATAAAAAAGCTTACACAACCCATATTTAATAGTTTTTCAACGAGAGGTACAACTTGTGATGGCTTAACTTTTCCTTCATAAGGACAACCAACTGCACAAGATACATAACCACGTATGCGTAGATTTTGTTCACGTGCAATATCGACAACTTCATTAAAACGATGTAATGATGTTTCAATT